TTGGTCAGGTTTAATGAAACACAAGTATTTAATTTTAAACCCCTGATTTAATTTAAGCAAAGACAAAGGGGTGGCCCGTTGAGTCAAAGCACAGGGAAAAGGGACCATAAAAACCCTGTCGACTTACACAATTCATATAAAAATAAAATACAAAACAAAACATAGTTATATGGGTCATATATATATATATATATATATATATATGTATCTAATATGAGAATACATATATGAGACATTCTTTTACAAATCGTACACCTATTTTGACTTCAGGGTTTGGATTCGCATGAAAATTTTTTTACCGCTTCTATTCAGTAAATAAGCAGATACGTGTATCAGGTTTTCTGTAAAAAATTTGTTTTTTCAGAGATATGTTGATATTAAGTTTTTATGAATTGCGATAAAACGATGAATTCTCTTCTACATAAAACTCATTATCTCCGGTTCTACTGATCGGATCGATTTTGTTTTTTTTTTGTTTTAAACCTTATTGAATAGGCTTTTCAAATAAATAAATTAATTTTTTTTTTTAATTATAGGGAGTTAATAACAGATTAATTTTTTAAACTAGTTTTTCATGTTTGCCCCCTCTATAAAATAAAAGGAAAAAAATACTATTTTATGCGCTTTTTCTTTATCTACAAAATACATTTTTCAGAACAGTGGAGACTCTTTTGGATCGGAAGATATTAAACATTTTCGAGCGCGTGACAGGACTGTCAAGCGCGTAATATTCAAACGTATTAGTGCATGTGGCGGGTGACGTGATATTTTGTATAAGAGTGCCATGATTCGACATCTTTTAATTGGTGCCTTATTTGTGCAAATGTCAATTCTGCCAGTTAATAAATTTACTCATTAATTGGAGTTTGTATTATTTAAAATTTAATTTATTTAAAATTATTGAATAATTGAATATTGAATTGAAAATATTTTTTTAAAATGATGTATGAGTTTAACTATCCTAAATGTGTTAGCGTTTCGAAGATGTCTGATTAGGGGGTGTCGATTAATTACGTGAGTCAATTTTAGCGATTTTTTGACCCCCTCCCCCCTTGCTGAGATGTCGTGAGATTTGGCTCAACCCCCTCCCCCTAATCTCACGTGAGATTTTAAAAAATGCTTATTTTTAATGTTTATACGTTAAACTGCTTGATTCTGTTGGATTTATTAAAAAACATACTTTGTTAAAAATTACGTGATATTTGCCGAGACCCCCCCTCTCCCTTACGTGAGATTTGGCTTGACCCCCTCCCTCCCCTAAACGCCTCACGTAATTAATGGATGCCCCCTTACGGCTTGTACCGGTCACGCGCTCGAAACTATTTAATATCTTCCGATCCAAAAAAGTCTCCATTTTTCTGAAAAATTCTTTTTGTACAGTAATAAATAGTGCATAGAACAGTATTTTTTTCATTTTTTTTCATAGAGGGGGCAAACACAAAAAATCTGTTTATACAAAAAAAAAATATTTTTTTCATATAATAAACAAAACACAAATTTTTTAAATATTTATCTAAAAAGACTATGTAATATGGTTTAAAATAAAAAAAAAATTAAATCGATCCGATCAGTAGAACCGGAGATAATGAATTTTAAGTACAAAAGAATTCAGCATTTTTACAAATTTTATCAAAAGTTTAAATCAATATATCTTTGGAAAAATAAATTTTCTGCAAAAATTCCGATATAGGGGTCGGCTAAATTTATGAAAAGATGCTGTAAAAAAAAATTAAGTCATTTTAAAAATTTGAAAAAATATGTTTTCTGTAATCCGTACGATATGTAAAAGAATGTCTCATATGTACCTCGAGGGATCCCTAGCTGGAGATCTATTTTTTGCACTCTAAAAATATTTAGTACACGTCTTAATAAAAAATATTAAAAAAATAGTTTATTTTAGAAATAATCAAAGTAAAACAAAAATTCTTTGTAAAAAATCACAGAAATTAAAAATATTTTTCTTTCTACAGTCTTGGTTTTTCTTTTTAAGTTTTTTTTACTTCCTTTTTCTAATTTTAGCTTAAGCCAACCATTGTCGTAATTAGTTAACTCCGGTAAAATGTCATTTTCCCTCGCAGTTTTGGTTTTCGGATTTTCCCGGATAGAGGCTAAAATTTTTTTTTATTTAAATTAAAGTCTTGGGTTCAATCCCGCTCGGAGAAATTACTTTTTTTGTTTTTAAAAATTATAATAATAATAATATTTTTCGTTTTCTAACCGATTTTATTAGGTTTATGTTTGTTTTTTGTTAATAATAAATTTACCTATAGAATAATCGTCTTCAATAGGGTGACAATTCTCTATGGTGACAATAAAATTTTATGGTACCACCGCGGTTCAGTACACTAGTGCAGCTGCCATTCATAAATAGCAATAATAATCTAAATAAAAAAAATAAATATAATACATACCTCTAGCAGGATCCTTCGAAGGATTATCTGGATAATTTATTATTTTAACTTAGCGTGGCACTTAAAAGTTTGAAAGTTGAAACTTAATCACAACACGTTGATTTGTGGATGACTATAGCGGCCGAGCCTCAGACAACAGATACATTTTTTAATTGTTTAATTTTAATTGTATAATCCATTTTAGCAGTGGGATTTTAATATTGTAAATAAAATTAAATTAGGCACTTCCCTGCTGTAAATTTTTTATTTTATTTTAATAACCGACCGGTTTCGCCTTACAAGATACATTTTTATTGAGAGGGCGCTTACATCAGAAAACTTTTCAATAAGTTTATAAATATTGTTAAATAACAATATTTAAGAAATACCTAATATTTACAAAAAATTGCGAAATAAATGTTAAAAAATATTTACGTGATATTTATGAATGTTTCAGAAATATTTATGCTTAACAGTTATAAAAATATTTTTCCTGAATGTTCTTAAAACATTTCATTAACTTTTATAAATACAGGGTGTCCGGGAAGCGTATTGGCATTGTGTACTACGATACAGAGCCATAGTGTTCTGAATCGCAGTAAGGATTGACAAAATTAAACGCCACTAAGTACAATACAATCCATACTACGATTCAGCACATCTCCCAGTTTGTGATGTTCTGAGTCATAGTAGAGAATGTTGAAGTGTTTGCGCGAATGCAGCAGGCCATACTTTACTGCGATTCAGCAAATATTGGCTATGTGCCGCACGCATAAAGTAATAAGCCAACCAAAAATCTCACTGACAATATTTATTTTTTATTATCGATTTTTCAAGTTAATTAACTTAAAGATCGTTTTACCCTAAAATTTTATTTGGCTTTATCATCGACAATCCTTAATAGATTTTTATAAGTATTTTAGTAGTTAATGCCCTCATGTTTCTATTTTTCTTTCTTAAATATAACAGAAAAAAGCAAAGGATTTTATATATTATACCTATTTAAAAAATAAAAAATATAACTTTAAATTATTCAAGTATAATCTATGTATTTTTATTTGGTGTCTATTAAAGAAAACAACACAATACAAAATATAATATAATACAATACAATACAATACAATAAAATAAAATTTCTTATTTATGTATATTTTATGTTTAGGTTTTTGCAAAATTAATAGTTTTATGTAAAAGTAGAAAAAAAAGCTTATTAACTATTTCAAATATTATTTAAATCCGTTGTGGTACGTTTATATCTGATACTTGCAAAATTTTTGGGTAAAACGATCTTTTTGTTAATAAGTTTGAAATGATTTTTTTCCTTTGGGTTAATGTATATTTATTATTAAAACTGCAGAGAGTACCTAGTTTGTTTTTATTAATATTTATTAATAAATAAATTCCAATTAAAAATAATAATTTGCTTTTTATTGATAAGGCGTGCAGCTAGCGTATTTGTAGGTAAGCTATCGAACTACAATTCAAATTAGAATACTATTTTCTGAATCGTAGTAAAGTATGGCCTGCTGCGGTCGCGCATACCCTACACCATTCTCTACTATGATTCAGAACATCACAAACTGGGAGATGTGCTGAATCGTAGTATGGATTGTATTGTACTTAGTGGCGTTTAATTTTGTCAATCCTTACTGCGATTCAGAACACTATGGCTCTGTATCGTAGTACACAATGCCAATACGCGTCCGGGAAAAGGAGGTCAATCCGTTAACCATATATTCTTTGAGTTAAAACAATAAGACTTTCATAATACCATTTTTCAATTTAGAGCTTCATGTTCGATATACAGGGCGACAAAGTTTGAAATTTAAAACTGTTTTTTTTTAATAATTCAAGTAATTGATAAGATATTAAGTTTAAATTCGGTACACTACTTCACCATAAATAGTTACATTTTTTGAGACCAACAAAACAAAAAACAATTGTCAAATAATCAAAATAGGGGGGTCCAGTACTCACTGACTCCCCCTATTTTTTAGTACGTGCGCCAATGACTTCCAAACTGTATTTTTTCGGGTAATCATTTATAAAAACTTTTTATTTTTATAATAGAAAAAGTAGGGATAGTACAAGAGAAAAAAGAAATACAGGTAGAAAGTGCCGAATTTATTTAAAGAAAAGTTAAAGCCTAATATTGACAAAATAAGGGGAAAATTAAATTTAATGAAAAACCCTTTATTAAATAAAATAAATTTAGTTTTTAAGGCAAGCGCCGACTATTGGTCAACATTTTAAGTTCTTTATAAATCATATAACAAATATGTTATAAATGAGTAGCGCTCTACCAACCAAAGAACACCTTTGCTACCGCCAGGAGTTCTGGCGGTGCAGAATAAAACATCGCACGCGGTGCACTAGAAATAAAGAATAAAAATGTCAAGTTTTATTAAAGTTGGAACTAAAGTTATAATTTATAACTTACAAAGATATATAAAAAAGCAACAAATAAAATTCAAAACAAGGGCAATATATTGCCATTGTGCGCATATAAATAAATAGAAATCTGTAATACTGGCGCAAGTGTGAGTTATCAAGGATAGATGTCTCTGTATGTTTACTTTTAAATTTTTCTTACCTTGAATAGGCGATCAACGGATCGTTGTGTTTTTCGAGTTCAGTTTGCATTAGAGCATAGCAAGCAACACGGCTGAGTGTGTTAAGGCTTGATTGTGTTCTGTTTCATGTTTTCTCAGAAATCTCGCGAAGTGTGTATGACAAAGTGCCAATGTTAATCCACGATAATGTAAATAGTGCTATAGTTCTTTGTGTATAATTCGTTTTAATTTGCCACACATTTCCTTTAAATTTTTGAACACATAACCTATAAAAAGGCAGCTGCCAGTGGGAAACAATCGGTTTCAGGGAACTGTCAGGAGGTTTTGTTTCGGTTTCGATTAAGTGTAATTTAAAGTGATTTAAAGCAAAATGAAGGGGTTTACAACTTCACGCGATGGTCTTTTGAAGATCGACGATGATGATTTAAAAACTGTGGTACTCAAAACTTCGATTTTGGCTGTTTACGATGTGGATAAAACACCACTTGGCAGGTAATAACAATTTTAAATTATTTATTAACAGTGGTGAAAACGGAATTTCGAACATCATAATTTGGTCGCCCTTATGTGATTCTGTAAATAGGTAGCAAAGATACAATGACCATTTTTGCTTTCGCTGCCAAAATGACAAAAATAGTGATAACCGGAAGTAAGGTTAGTTGTCCTGGACAACTTGTCCATAGGGTTGCCAACTTTTTTTAGGAAATAAAGTAATTTAGTATTTAAAATTCAAGTTTTATTAAATTTACACTATAGCCCCCTCGAGGGTTGTCAAAATGCAAAAATAGCAATTTGCGTGCCAAAAACGCGTAGGTATCTGACAGATTCGATTTGAAAGTGTCATAAATTGCGAAAAATTAAGTTTTTAAATTTAGGCAATTTGATGTTATGCAGGTTCTCTGTAGCATTACTCTTTAGCTCTTCAATTATATTTTTAGCCATAATATAACAAGTGGTAGGTATGATTATAATCGATAATTAATCATACCACGAGTTATATTTAGTGAGAAAATATAATGAATTTTAGGATTTAACGAATTGTCAGTTTGACATTTGAAATTACTTAAAATGTGCTTTAAAATATAAAAAGACTTTAATAAACCTTATTTATTCAAACTTACCTTAATTTTATTATCGTTTATACCAACCCATCGATCTTTTAGAGTTTATAATTCATTATTTTAATCAAACACAGTATTTAAATGTCAACAAATCGTCACCTGAGAATTATAGTGTTCTATCTGCATTTTCTTTTTTTTATTCAGGTTAGTCTTGTTTTAAGTATTAAAGATGGATATTGTTCTATCTATATATAATTGGGGTAGAAATTGTACAGTTTAGGCCTTAAACTTTACAATTTCTACCCCAATTATATATAGATAGATCAATATCATCTTTAAGACTTAAAACAAGACTAACCTGAATAAAAAAAAGAAAATGCAGATAGAACACTATAATTCTCAGGTGACGAAATGTCAAATCAAGAATAGTGTCAAAATCCTTAGCAACGTGTAAACAAAGTGATAAAAAATATTGTCGCTGTGATAAAATGCGTAACCATGGAATACTGGCATTTTATTGGTTCTAATTATAATGAATTTTATTGTCAAAATGTGAAAACTTCATTTTTGAAAGATATGCCCCCAACAACTAAAAGCCAGTTATTTGAACTAAAATTAAACCATTTTTCTAAATGGCATATATTCTTATCAATAAAGTGTGAAAAATAAGTAGGTACATAACAATTTTATTAACAACTTCAAGTAAAGACGGTTCAAGTCGTTTTAATCTTGTTTATTTATATATTCATAACCAAAATAAACGCCAAATGTATATTTTGGGGATCACTTTTGATCCATTCATATTTTGTTTTCCATTCAACTTTATCCTTTTGTAATAGTTTAGATTTTATTATTCTTGCTTTTTGAAGTACTTAACTGGTGTAAACAAAATAAGTCAAACCTCTACAGATTATAAAAAAAACTCACAACCTCACAATATACTGCTTCAAACACACAGTTGACAGTTGATGTCGACAGTGCTGACATCTACCGCTTCGTTCAATAATTATTAATCTATTGCTCTCTTTTATTTTATTTTAAAAATATAATAAATAATTTCCGATAATTTCGATAATTTCTTTAAGAGCTTTTTGTTTTGCGCAAGTAGGTGCGCAAGTACCTATAGCCTCTTTATTTTCATGATAAAGTAGTAAAAATAAAGTAGGATACCATATTATATAGTATGCCATAAAGGCAGTTTTAGATTTTAAAATTCCGTGTCCACCATAATGGATAATGATTTTACTATTATAAATTTATAACTTTTATCTCAAGTACCTGTTATCTTTAGTGCAAAATTATATGATAATGTAAATATTATTACTGTATGCCATTTTAAAAGGTATTATTGTAAACTTATAAAATAATGCAAAATTACAATATAGCCCAAGATTACGTGAGATAAAAATAGGGGGGGAGGGGTCTAGCAAAATCTCACCAAATCTCATGTTAAGGGAGGGGGGGTCACAATTTTACAAGGAATATCACTTCAACTTTTGGGTTCAAAGAATAGAAGAATTATAATTCAAACGTCAAAAAAAGTAATCAATTTTTTTTTTGGGTTTATCATGGTGTCTGCAATGAAAGTTTAATGGCTAGAATCTCAAGTGAGTGAGGGATAGGGGGGAGTCTACCACATCTCACCAAATCTCACCAAGGGGGAGGGAGGGGTCCAAATTATCAGAAAAATGCCTCACGTAATTAATGGATTTCCCCTTATGTTAATCAAGGGCTTTTGGCTTTTGGTAGGTATAACTTTTTAACTGAGGATTCGGTTGGCAAATCTAAACTTACCAATTACTAATATTTAATTACTACTACCTTAAATCCCAACATAATCAAAGTCAAAGTCAAATAAAAAAAAACTCTACGTAGTAACCTAGCTAGTTTACTTAGTTTATTTAATAAATATCATACAAAACTCAAAACATATACCTAGTGAAAAAAGTAAATGGTAAAAAAAGAAAATATACACTTAAGTCAAAGTACCTACCTACCTTATTTTGAAACTTAAATTCTTAATAAATCGGCGTAGAGGTAGAAAAGGTTACTTTCTTATAAATTTTAATTTATAATAAAGAAAGATAACTTATAGGCACGTATGTAGTTTTAATTTATTTCAAATAAATCAATTTAAAAACCAACTTTACATAAAAGTCCTCGTTTTTTATATTAATTAATTAGATTTTTAAAATATCTGATAACACCATGTACCTATGATAATCATAAGGTATACATGGTGTTAGGCAGGGGCGGCTCGTCAGGGAAGGCAAGAAAGGCTTAGCCTCAAAACTATTAACCATCTAAAACAGTTTATGTGAAAAAATCAATCAATATCATTTTTATTTTTGAATTTTCATTGGGAAATTGTGTTTAATCTTTTTATATAAATAAGATAAAATTCAAAACCCTTATACTCCTATACCTACTGCCATGGCATGCCAATATAAAGGTGCATTTTTTTAAATACGTCATGAATCTTAAATTCGTATTTTTTATTAATTTATAGTAAAAGTACCTTAAGGTACTTAAGTACCAAGGCCTTGGTATACTTATACCTAATTGGGTTATATTTATATACCTATATATATATATAAATATTTTACAACCTGTCGGTTTTAAAATTATTTAAATTATAATTTAGGTAACAGTTTCTAGGTAAATTTCCACAAATTTCGACACATTGTTATTTATTTAAAAGCAATGTTGTCGCTATCAAAAAACAAAAAATGAAATAGTTGCCATCAAATTGCTTTATAATTTGTCATATCGTAAAATGTGTAAAAATGTTTCCAAAATGAATTGTACTATTATTTCTGTTTTCTCACATATTTTTGTTTGTTTGTAGAAAAACGGCGCAATATTTAAATAACGGTAAATACATCTTTCTACTGTGATAATTTACACGAGACCAATTTGTATACGTTTCTAATATTTCTTTAGTACAAAGTAAGAACTTCCCACCAGTCATAGATACAGTTGTTAAACTTCTTGTTTACGAAAATATTTATTTTTTAAATAATTGTTTATTTTATAAAGTAAATTTCAATCCCACATACTTACATGTGTAGTAATAACAACCTTGCCTTTGTCAATAGAACATTGTTTATTGAATTTAAAAAAATGCTAATCACAGTTCGGAACGAACATTTTATTTTCTACAATAATTGTAATTATTACAAGACAACAACTAATAATAAAAATAATCGATGTTATGTTATGTGATGTTATGTTAGGGTGTTATGTAATTAATGTTATATATTAAAATACTGAATACCTTTTGACATAAGGAATAAAGGAAAAATATTTAAAAAAACATTTTTCCAAAGATAAAGAAAAAATATGCATTAGAAGTTTTTTATATTTTTTGTGATACGCCACTGATTACACACGTGTTTATCTCTGCACACCTGTATTTTGTGAGTACATAGATACCAACCAACAAAGTAGCTATACGTTGCCAGCTGTAAAAAATTGTTACTAAAAATTTTTCTTGCAAAAAATAAATTAAAACTCAATAAATACAAAAGTTTTATGCCCTTAAAGCTCTAATACCCTTCTGTATTTATTTACTGATCCAGCTATTAGCTTAAGCAATGATTAGAAAATTTAGTACCTTTGAAATTTGAAATCCATAACCACAAAATTAATTTTTTCATCAGTTTTTTTCTCTGTTTACTCAGATGAAATTGGGACCAGTTCACAGGTTAAACTTTAAACATTTAATTTGTGTAAATAAATCCAAAAGCACTTTCCTTAGTTAAGATATTTACAATTTAAAAACATAACTTAAAATTTAAAAGAAATGCACTAGATTCTGTCATAAAAGTTGGCAGATTTTGTTTGAATTTACCTTCAGTACAAAAATGAAATAACCTCGGAAATAACCAACAATTAATAAAAACGCCAAATTGACAATTTGCATTGTTAATTTTGTCATTTTTGTAATTAAGCTAAATTTAAACAATGTTTGTCAACTTTTTTGAGAGATTTTGGAAACACTGTTACCAACCATAACATAATAAATCCACCAGATTAACCTAAAGTTCCTAGTCGATCAGTGGCGTACTTTTTGGTAGGATAAAGGTTATTATAAATTATTTTTAAACTTTGGAATTTAGAAAAAAAAAGTTTCAGGTGCTTCTTTATGGACCCTAAGGAACAACCCATTTTAATATATAACATTAATTACATAACACCCTGTATTATTATTCATATGTATATTATTTTATACACAATAGCCATCTTTATTTTAAACGTTTTAATAACGCCAAGCTAAATGATTTCAAAATCGAAAGTAGGCGTTTGCTCCCATAATACGATTAAAAATATAGATTTCTTTACGCTAATTAAAAATCCGTCCTGTGGTTTTTAAATTTACCAAGATGTAGTTTTGTTTTCTTAGCGAACTTGCAACGAGAAGGCTGGGTT